TGGAAAAATATGCTTCCTCGGTTTGTTTGCAAACTGTATCAGTATTATTTTCTTTGTGATCATTTTTTTACAGTATATTTGTATTGTTTTCTAATATATTCATTTTATGTTAAATGAACACAAAAATTTGAGTGAACCTTTTGAAATATGTGAAATATGTTATATACGACACAAATTTTTCCAAAAGTGGATGCATTCAAAATTTATCAAGTAATCGTAAATATTGTTTGGTATTTATATTTTTAAATATTTAATAAATTCAAATAAGTAAAATTATTCTTAATTAAATTTTCATTGAATAAGACGGTGTACAATTGTTATATTGAGTAACTGCTATTGATACAAATAAATATCTCACGACATATATTATTGCGAATTATACATAAAGAAATATAATACTAAAACTGATTATTTTTAATTAGTCCGATCTAACGCAAATATTGCGAGAGAATCTGAGGAAACCGAGCGCATTTTCTACACAGTCATTAAGGTCTCCGGCTGCTTCACGCAACTTACGTGTTTCATTCACTGCTTTAATGAATGCGCCTTATTACTCAAATGAAATAAAATGCATATCCCGATGAATGTCTTATATATATATACTTAAAATTAAGAAATAAAGTCTAAGGAAATTATAAACTTCCCTTTTTTCCATTATTAGTATTTATATTTTTATTTACATATATAACTCAAGCATGTATATTTAAGGGATATAAAAAACATAAAAAAATATCTCTTTAAAAAATCTAATTTTTTAGACATAAGAACTACTAGAAGATTTTAGATTCAGGAATTTAAATAATTTTTAAAAAGAGAGAATAACCTTACAAATTTTTTTATGAGTTATGTAGATTTAATGATCATAAGAGGACAAGATCTTACTTATTACGAAGATGTGATATTTTTTACTGGTATTGCTTTTATTGTACATATTAACAATTTCAATATTATAATTAACGTGCTCATTTTAGCAACTTTTTGTTTATAAAATATGATTTTTGAAAATACTTTCTTATACTAAAATTTTTTTTATCGCTATTTTTTATTAATATACAATTTAAGATACTTTTTTCAATCAGAATGAGTTTATTTCTTGAGAGCTTACCAGGTAACGTAGTAATTTCAGTATTGACGGCTGTTAAGGAAAAGGTGACTCTGCCTAAGAGGCAGAGACCCAGCAAGAAATATCTTTTCTGGATACGCATCCTACCGCATTCTTCTATACAGATATATACCCATAAACACTCGTTCGTTTTATGCGCACACTCACTAATTCTTCAACAAAAAGATCAGATGATTAAGAAAAAAATATGGATCAAGAAAAAAAATATAAATCCACGTTTTTATCCTCAGTGAGTTGCTGCCCGCGATCAACAACGCGTGAACCACAACGAGGGAACAACGGACAATCCGTGACTAACTGAAACGAGTTTCAGAGTCCTGAATAGCAAGGAGAGAAAGAGAGAAAGAGAGAACAATCCACTTCGTATGTACGTATGTATATGAACGGGTCAGAGGGAGAAAGACGGGGAGAGAAAGAGAGAGAGAGGAGAGATTAGAAGAGAGAGAGAGAGAGAGAGAGAGAGAGAGAAGAGGGAAGGAATTTGCAGAGTTTGTAATTCTCGAAACACTGCCGGAGACACCGCTGAAAGCACGCGTGTACGGTGACCGATTGACTGCCGCTCTCTCTCGTTTCGTTGGCGATCCGTGCCGAGGCCGGAGCTGTAGTGCTGTACAACGGTGAACGGGATTCGCTTTCTTTGACGAGTTTCGCATTGGCCTACCTCTTCTTTGTGTGTGTCTTCTATCATGAGCCGTACGGCCACATTAACCTTGCTACAGGTTGTACATATTTGTACTGGCGCCATATAAATGCCTCAGTCTTAATATGCCAAGTTGAAATAATTTTTGAAATAATTTTTAAAAATACTATATTTTATTTTTAGAAAGCCGGAATCGTGACCACTACTCAGACAGCATAAAATATTTATGACAAATATTCGTAAACATTCTATTTGTCTTTTTGAAATATACATAAATATTTTATAGATATTTTATATAAGTTTAATTTATTCGAAATATTATTAAAATACAGATTAAATATTTTATACAATATCTATAGATATAAGGAAATCTTTCTAATATGTAGTGCCAGCCAAAATTCTGAGTCACCTAAATAACTTTTGAGTGATTCGAAATATAGGATTGAAGCTTATAGAAATACAATGGAATAATCTATTATTTAATCTTGAAAATACCTACCTTAGCACTTTCGAAAGGCGGGGGAGAGAAGGATTGGATAATCTTAAATGACATATTCGAGTGAGAGAATTTGTTTGAAAGAGCTTTTCGAAAGGAGAACAATGTAGGGTGATTTTCTACGATTTTTTTCACATTATCGAGATTTTGTAATAATAAGGACCCACGACAAGAAGATGACCCACTGTGAAAAAGGTAAGGATTCGGGCACGTTTTCTGAGTAACATGTTTCTGAGTGGGCGGGGAAGAGGGGGGAGGGAAGAGGAAGAGAGGAGAGAGAGAGAGAGAGAGAGAGAGAGAGAGAGAGAGAGAGAGTGTGTGTGTGTGTGTGTGTGAATGACGGAGGCAGAGATTTAATGCAAATGAAATGAGTTTATGACCATTTTATTCAAATTTCACATAGTAGACAAATAATGTCGCTCTTTGAAGGAATATTAATTACTGCATTTCATATCAAATATCGCGGGTATACGGGTATTTGAAAAAATACTTGATTTTTGAATATTTAAAAGGCATTCGACTTTCGAAAAGAAATTGTAAAGTGCCATATCGGATGAAATGGCTAAACGAAATTTGGTAAATATTGAAAATAACAGATTCATCTCCGATGACCTTAATCTTGACATATGTTATCAAGATTATGACCCTGAGTGACCTCCGGCAAATTTTAATTGACGGTCATCCCTCTTTAAAAAGTTATAAACAAAAAAAAAGTTTAAGAAATAATGTCAACATTTCCGCCTCTCACCATACAATTTTTGTTGGTAAATATTGAAACTAACGGACTCACCTTCAATGGCTTTGACCTTGACATTTATTGTCAAGATCAAAGAAGGAAATAGATTTCCTGCTTTAAAAACAAAAATTGTCTCTGAAAACATTAATTTCTCATATAATTTTTATTTTTAAAACAGGAATTTGCTTTTAAAGCAGAAAATTTATTATTTTGTTATGACTTTTCAAAAATTCTCTACTTTGATCCTTTTATTCTGAGCATCAAATATATACGGCATCCATGCGATGATCTGTGAGTACCGGATATATACAACATCCATGCGATGATCTGTGGGTACAAGCACCGGATATACAGGGTGTCCCATTTTAAATGACTATCTAAAATTTCTCTTGAACAGTGCATTTTAGAAAAAAATGTTTCAGACAAAGTTATGTGATTTTGAGGGGAATATAAAATGATATTATTGATTTGACTTCGGGTGACGTTGTCAATGTCAGGACAAGGTCACATTGAATTTTTTAAACGGAATCTCCTATTTTTTATTACATATTCTTATGGTTTATCTCGAAATCTTTCCAAAACACTATAATAAAATATATTTTCATTAAGTACTTTTCGAGTTATAAAGCTTGCAAGTTATAGCACTGCCAGCATTAGCATTACCAAAGGTGTCCGACTGACAGCTAAAACCACTTGAATGTTGTTCAAGGTCATATAACCTGGATAACATTCAAATGGTTTTAGCGATAGATCGAACACTTTGAGTAATGCAAATGCCAGCGATGCTGTGGACAACTTGCAAGTTTTATAACTCGAAAAGTACTTAATGAAAAAATATTTTATTAATGTTTTGAAAAGCTCTTGGAATAAGCTACAAGAATATAATAAAAAATAGGAGATTCCATTTAAAAAATTCGAAGTGACCTTGACAACGCCATTCAAGAAAACCAATGGTATTATCTTATGTCCTCCTAGAAGTCACAAAACTTTTGTTTAAAATATTTTTCTCTAAAATGCACTGTTCAAGAGAAATTTGAGGTCGTCAAATTTAAAATGGGACACTCTGTATATAGTATCTGTGATTTGCTCAGCTTTTGTCGTAATGTTGCTGTTAAATCACTTATAAACCTTGCTTGACTTTTGTCGACAATTTGGTCTCATGTTCCTTATTTGTTATCAATTTACTGATAGTTTTGAATATAAAATTTGCATCAAAGATGTCTTTTATTTTTAAAATTTATAGTAAGATTTTAAAAGATTTGTTTTTGATAGAATTTGGCTATCTCTCTTTTTCTTCCTTCCTTCCTCCCTTGCCCCTTCCCTCTCTCTCTAAGAGTGTATTTAGGATGTTTGCTAACAGTACAAAGTATGTTTCCTATTTGCAGCAAATCGATAAACATAAACTGTTGCCAACATTTGCGATTGCGAAAAAAAAGTTAAAAAAGTTATAGGGATATATAATTGTATATAATTATACACACACACACACACACACACACACAATATATATATATATAAAATATCCATTTATATACAAATATATAAAATTGTATAATTTTACATAATTTTATATAATTATATATAGAGAACATTTTTTCCGGGTCATAAACTTTAAAAGAATTGAAAGATTCAAAAATATTATCATACAGTTTTATTAAATAAATTGTAACGATTGGTAAATATTGTTTACGCACTAATAACCATATTGTACTCTAATTAGCCGTTTTCCTTCTTATTTTTATTAATCTGTTTTTATTTGATTTTAATAATAATGCATGATGTGCATATTAGATTAGATTCTGAATGTGCAATTAAATCAACTTCTTTTTGAACTTCTAAGTAGTAAGTCGGACTTATCTTCTATCAGTATATCTTTTATCAATTTTCTGAAATTCGAATTTTAGGAGTGAAGGATAATAAAAATTCTCTCTTTGTACTTAAACTTTGTGCTATTTATTTTTCTTATTTATTTAATTAGAATCTGTTAAATCAAAGATTTCTTTAATTAAAAATTTTTATGAGCATAAGTCAAACGCGCTTTCGATATAATATAAAGCTAATCCGATCTGAAATACGTGATAAATTAATTCGTGATGGTGACATCAGCACAGCTTCTAAATGTTTCTTGGGGACCACAACCTACGCGTTGTGTTCCATCTTGACAAGTTCCCCAAGTATTCCCAGTATGATAATGCCACCTAATAAAAAGAGAGTCAATCTTTATATTATTTAATTAATATATTACGTTATTTTACATTATATTTAATTGAATTATTGAAAATAAATTTTTTTCAGCGAATTTTAATTTATAGCGCCATCATAGGCTACGTTCAGCAGAGAAAGCAGCTTTGTAACTGTTGTAAAATTCTTCAATATGATTGGTTTATACGTTTAGATCTGTAAGAAACTAAAAGCAAGAATCAATCGTATTGAAGAATTTTACAACAGTTGCAAAGCTACTTTCTCTGCTGAACACAGCTATTTTTTGTGGAAATTGATATATCAAAAAATATTATCTCGGCTGGGAGCAAAGCAGTCTAAAGACTTAGGACGCTTATACGGAATATAGAGAGATCCGGATTCGATTCCCGGCTGAGATAATATTTTTCGCAATAAATTTATTAACAGTTTTTCAATATATTAACATCTTTATAATATGATACCTGATTGCAGCATCAAATTATTAAAATTGTTTGTCAATTTAATTCGTGATTACGGGAGTAGTTTAATTACGTTTATAGTCCAAAAAAACAATTCTCAGTTCAAAAGACTATAATATGGTATACATACAAGTACATATATAATATATATAGTAATTCAAGATTGAATTATTTAAAGCATTAAAAAATACAGCTTCAACCGGTATAGACTTCTAGTTTAACAAAATAAAAGTTATAAAACGCTCATTTGATGACCAGCTTAGTTAAGATACTTATATATCGTCAAGATTATATGTATAATACACTATACCGTTCATAAATTCAAGAACATTTGCAATTTTTTCACATTTCAATAAAAATTTAAATATTTCGGTGAAAAGAAATCGTAGAGAAGTTTTTAAAAATAAAAAATAGAACTTCGAACTGGCATTTGAATTTTGTCTCTCTCTCTCTCTCTCTCTCTCTCTCTCTCTCTCTCTCTCTATACTTTGTTCCTAAATCATGTAAAATTAATTTTTTCTCAATATTTTTATTTTTTTAGCACTTTATCTGGATGGAACATGGAACATTATCAGATAAAATTAATAGCTAAGCATTTTAAAGTAGGCCTTCTAAACTTTAAAATGTATTTTGAAAAAATACTAGAATAATTTTTTGTAAAAGGATTTAATTTTTTATTGTATAAAATTTTGACTCAGTTTTATGTTAACAATCGAAAAAAAGTTTTTTAAAAATTTTGAAAAAATTTATATGAATTAACATATTATGATAAATTTTTGTTTTTTTCTGTCTTTTTTCGATGTATTTATTTTCGAAGTAATATAAAAAACATTTTAGAAAAAGTTTCTAAAGAATAAAATTTTGTAGAAAAAAAAATAATAAAAGTTTGCAAAAAATGTTTTACGTATTCGTAACGTAAAATTTCATATTTAAGATTAAATATTTTTAAAATGACACTGAAAAACTCAATAAAATTTGCTTTAGATATTATTGACATAATCAATCTTCGCATCATATCCATATGTATTACAGATTTGTTTTACTCAGATAGCACAAAATATTTATGATAAGTATTCATAAATATTTATATTTTTTCAAATATTATATAAATATTTTATAGATACTTTATATAAGCTTTATTCAAAATATTATTAAAATACAGACTAAATATTTTAAATAATGTTTAGGATAAATATACATAAATATTTCTAATATTTATAATATTTCGTAAATATTTCCTGGGAACATCATCTATTTCATAAAATGCAAACTAGGATATTTGACTATCAATACTAATAAAACGAATGCTATTATAACTGTTATAAGTCTTCTTTGGTAAAAAAAACTATTTTCAATTTATTTACGAAAAAAAAATTATTTTAACTATATGTTTCATGTTTTTGATGACATTTATATTGTTCAGATTTGTCAAAGCTATACGTCCATTAACATTCAGTGTTTGTGGATAACTGATGTAGAAGTTTCCGTACGATTGCAGAGATCAAGTAGTACTGAATGTACAACTTAGAATTGGCCAAAAATTGATTAATGAAATTCATACTCAAATTCAGGCAAACATTTTTTTTATCATAATTTTATCGCGTATATTATTCTAGAATATGATGCTAATCAATAATATTTATTGATAGCAATAAAATTACTTATTTTAGCAATAAAATTGAACTAATTATTTTTTTTACCGGAATTATATATATATAATATTTATTAAATATTTTCATAATATTTATCATAATATTTACGATAAATATTTCATAATATTTATGATGAATTTTTATGATCTGTACAATCTAAAACAAAAGTATTTACAAAATATTATATAAATATTTAAATAAATATTTAAATAAATATTTTTTAAATATTTTACAAATATTGTGTGTTGTCCGGATATATTTTATCAAACACAAAAACTTTTTTAATTTTTTAAATTCATATTATAGTTTCCATTAAATTTCAATTAAAATAATTAAGTAATTAGGCATTAATAACAAAATAATTGAACGTTAATAATTCATTTAAAATTCCGAATTAATAATATCAAAATTAAAAGAAATGAAATTGTCTTCAATACCAACCTAAGTACACATTGTTTACATGTAACATTCTTTGGTAGGACCAAGCTGATAGTGTAATCCTTTGCGATATTGATGTCAATGGGATATTTATAGCCTTTATCGTTAGCTCTTGGCAAGGGATACGTATTGAAGCATTTATCGGTTTCTAATTCTTTATTCTTCAGTGGACAAAGGTTGAATGTAAAGTAACCCAAGTGAGCGGCAGTGAGTCTAACGATCACATTGATGACAGAACCTGCCTTATATCTATGCAAATGAAATATAATATAATATACGCAGTATAATAGTAGTCTAGTATAAAAATATATATTACAATTTTAATAGATTTTGGATACCTTTAGAATATCCAAATATATACCCAATAAAAAATGTATCTATATTTATTAGAACTTCTTATACATTTAGAGATTGAGACAATCCCTTAAATTAAATCAGAACCGTAATTGATTTTGAGTGAATATCATTAAAATTGTGAAATAAATCAAAGTATACATTAAAATCATATAAAATTATCTTTTTTGAAATATAAAAGTACAGCATTAAGTACATATGCTCCTACGTACAAAAAATTGACATTCAAAATAAGTTTTAATTTGTAATTCTCAGTATAATCTACATTATAGACGTAAAACAAGGATAGATTAAATCTGTTCGCATTGCTTGCACTTTTTGCTTGACATCTTCGCTTTCTTTTTTTTTCAAAGTCAAATATATATCTATCTCATTTTAAGTGCAAAAATATTTGGGGATTTTATGCAACGCGAACAGATCTAATGATACCAATGACGCTAACAGTCTTTCCAAACGCACCTGTAATTTAATTCCGCCATGCTTGTGACAATACCAATCGCCACAACATATACTAGTATGTACATATTACGTGAATTGATGCAAGACACGTAATTATATTTCAATAAAAGAGAATATTTTATAACATTTTACAATACTCTTTATAATTATAATATTTTGTAGCATTTTAACGTTTTATGGTTTTTTCAAGGTTGGCAAATAAGGCGTTACTTGTAACGCTGCGCCGTTTTTCGTTGATCGTTATCTTTGTTGATCGTTATCTTGTTATAATAACGATTTGGTAATGACATTGTGAATTTTTTATGACGATAATGGTAACATCAGAGTTAGAAAAGTCAATCGTTACTTGTATATAACAGAAAAAGTTATTCGTTACTGAAAAAAATAACTCCTAATTTGTAATGCGTTATTTTTTATTCATTATTTATAACGAGTAATATTACACATTACTCGTTACTTATTACTTTTTTCAAGTTACTTTTCAAAGTGACTCTTATTTCTAACCAATCTCAACGTTTAGTTAGTTAGCGTTATCGTCATAAAAAATTGTTTATTATAAAAAGTAATGGCAAAATAACTGAAAAGTAACGTTTGCCAATCCTAGTTTTTTAAATTATTGATTGATTTGTTAGTACAGTGTTATCATTATATACGATTTACTTACTTTTGAACAATGATACCTGATCCATAGATGCCGCCATTTTCATTTGGTCGCGGTCGAGGTAAAGAATAATTGTCACCGCATTCTCCGCACTTTCCACCATTTGTCCCGTGCTGAATCTAATAAAAAATTATATTTATTTTTTAACAATCACTTAATATATATCTTTTTTCATTTCTTCCCAAATTGCTTCCCATACAGCGTTGAAAGATTACAAAAAAATTAAAGGATTTTTCATTGAAAGATTAAAACATTGTAAAATGATTGCAAAATGCTATTGCAATATTGTTGTAATAATGCAATCGTCCTTCAAAAGAAAAGAGTAGTTCACTTACACACTGCCAATCACAGCGACTTCTGCGTAGGGAGTTTTTTTACTTTTTCTCTAGCGTTATGATTGACTTATACGCAATTGGCTCGTATGCAAGTGATATACACTTTAAAAAGAATGCAATGGAAATTTGTAGCAACATTGCAATATATAACATATTTAGAATCACGCAATAGGAAAAAAGATTTGCTTTTTTTAGACCCTCGAAGTTCTAACGATTATTCTTAATAACCGATGCGTTGAAACCAATATCTAAAAAGTTCTAGAGGTTTGAAGTGTCAGATTTCGAATTTTTTTACTTCAAAGTGCTAGAACATTTTAGATATTGTTTTCAACGCATCGGTTATTAAGGATAATCTTTAGAACTTTTTGGGGGGCTTTCAGAACTTGTAACAGAATAGTCGAAATCTAAAAAAGATTTTTTGCTTTAACTAAATTTAAATTTTTAATTTTTTCGTAAATCCGGTATTTTCTTAAGAGTTTTGGTTGCCCCCCAAAGAGTTCTATCTATTGTCTTATATGGATCATAGCTATAATGAATGGTAAAGAAGTTACAACTCTCTTCAAAGTTTTGGAATCGTGAAACTTGCCTCCCCCCCCCCCCCCCCCGAAATTTCAAATGATATTTTCATCGCTTTAATCGACGAAACTCTTTTTTAAAATTGATAAAGAACTCTAGAAACTTTTCGGGGAGTAGCCATAATTCTGTTTATTTTTTCAAAATTTTGAAAATGAGGAGTCAGCAATTCATAGAGGTGCGAGCGTGCGCTAATTATTCATTTCGTTGATTTTTTTTTGTTTCTTTTGTACGAAATTATTTTTTCTAGTTAGCGCGGTGGCGGAACTTCCCTAGATTTTCCGAACCAGCTTGCATAACATAAAGAGATTACGAGCAACATTAGAGTCCTTCTTCAATTTATATTGCGCGTTCTAAGGCATAAGGATTTGCGGCTCGCAATGATCTACATCAGGGGCGCGATTCCGTAATTGTCTTTACACGCCTACCGACAGTTGTCGGTGTTGCGCAGATATTTTATATGGTAAAAAAGCTGCGCAATGATACCGATAATTGTCGATAGGCGTATAAAACAGTTACGGAATATAGGCCTAGTGCTCGCAAAGATCTGCACATTTCAGCCGGTATTCATACTCGAGTCTTATTTCAAGATAGAAAATTTCAATAGAAATTTCATGTTATTAGAAATAAATTATTTAATAAAAAACATGTTTCAATAATAATTTGGCGGAAAATACGTTCCCAACGCACTATATTTCTGGGGATCTATAGGGATGGTTCTGAGCCAGAGCATTACGTGAGCGTTCGGCGGTTCGAGCGGTAGTGGGGATCGCTCGCTGGAATCAGCCCGAAATGTACAGATCTTTGCGAGCACTGACCTACACAATTCGCAGAATTTACAAGAGCCAATTGGAGCGTGACATGGCCCCAATTAGAGGAGAGCCGAACGGTCTGCATGAATCCGCGAAAAATTCCAGGCCGGCACTGTGGCTGAGTCTGTATATATGATGTAAGAAGGATTACTTTTTTCGGTTACTTTTTTAAACTTCCAAAAATTTAGGTTCTTTACATCAAATTTAGTTTTAAGCGGACATAAGGTTTAGTCGTGTCATTAATCGCGCACGGACTATGAGCAGTAATGTAGAAAAGCGATTATTTATCAATTTGTGAAAATTTCCGAGGAAAAGAAGTCCTTAGATGTATCATTCCCGAGAATACGCAGTAGGAAAGTGAATTGAGAAAATTTAATTGACTATTCCAATGTATCAACGCTATTATACGCAGGAAAGTGCACAGAGGCCAAATTTTAATTGGTTGCTTCCAGTATTGCTTATCGTTATGCTCAATGGTACACTCAGTGATGCCAGGCATGCCCCGCACTCGCGCTTTGTTTACAGCTTAGCGCGCAGTGCTGTAGCCATTAGGTTAGGTTAAAGTAACAATGTGATGCTGTGTGGACCGCGAAGTCTGCGCGTCAAACCGGACAACAGGAGATGCGAGGAATCCCAAGAGGAAAATATAAATGAGGGCATGTCTGGCAGCACTGGGTACACTTTGCATCCTTGCCAAGTCTCGGGAAATTTCTTAAGATTCCTAAGAATGAAATTTAATGAAATTGATAGGAAAACAGAATTTTAGTCGAAATCTACTGAAATTTTTAAACTTTTCCAATATTTAAGGAAAAATATTAGGAATTTTATAATTATATTCTTGAGACTTCCACGGGTGCTTTCTATATAATTATTATATGTTTCGCGGGTTTTTCTTCGTGTCTAGATCCATTCTTGGAATGCCAACGTTTCGTGAGTTTTGCAGTTCACTTCATCAGGGCGAGGAGCAACCTGATACTGAGCTGTTCCTCTAGATCCTTCCTTTTTATATTACGCTGCTTATTGGAGTGGGGGTAGGTGGGAAGAGGGGGGGGGGGGAGAGAAGAGGTGATGGAATTTGGTTGGTCTTCAATAATCGAGAGAATGGTTTTCCATATTTTATTTATGTAATAGTCATTATCTCTATTTAGATTATTAGGGTGTTATTGTATCTCTATAGCTTCTCTATACTTTCTTGGAAAGTATGATGTAACATTGGCCATCGTGGTCGCTTTGTCAAACAATATTTGATATCCTGTTTCAATGTTGTGTTCTGATAATGCTGACAGCGTGACATGTCCGGCAAAATGATCTCCCACATTTTAATCTTTAATAATTTAAAAATGTGGGAGATCATTTTGCCGGACCCTGTATTAGCTTGACATCACGTTGGTGTTCTTTTATCCGTAGGTTGACCATTCTCCCGGTTTCTCCAATGTATTATCCGCAGGAACAAGGTATTTTGTATACTCCTGCGGAGCTGATCGATGGAGATCTTTAATCTTTAGGATTTCTTTAAGATTTGTCCTATCTTTTTGAGTGGTTTGAAATGATATTGTGTTTGTTTAATATCCTGCCAATCCGATCTGCGGTCCCGAATCTTCATGGCGAAGTTATCCATTTGAGTAATATATTTTTGTAAGAATACAAGCTCTTGTATATCGTTGACAGATTTAGTTTGCATTTGATTGTCGTACAATAGTCGCCTTTTAAGGTAATCGCTCGTAGAGTCAAGATTTAACGAGATTTAGTACGAGTGTCGATCTGACATTAATAAAGAAATATCATTGTTTCCTGCGGATATCGAACCTATAAAATTACATCTATGAAGCGAGACTTCGGACTTAATTATAAGTCAACTTATTATACACTTGTTAATCATTTTATTATTAATTTCTATGTCATTCTTACAACCTATCTGTTTCGTCTTCCAACAATTTCCTCACCTTTAACGATCCATCCCCGTTGCCGTCGCGAATTGTAATTTTAATTTAATTTAATTTAATTTAGTTTATTGCGAAACTTTATGAGAAAGACTATATGTTAACAGAGTAATAGACATAAAATACAATAGACTATAGTAGACATAAAATAAAATATAATATTGCAATAAATAATAATAGCTTGTAAATGGTATCGGCAAAATTGCTATTACAAAGCCTGCAACAAAACCTGAAATAAGACAACAATGTAATGAGAGGTGAACCAATAACTGAAATCATACACACGCGCATATACCCACAAACACACAAATTTCGTCAGTCTCGCTTATTGTGACGCGATGAAACGAGAGGCAGCGGAACGAAAGGGAGAGGTTTTTATTGAATTAGGAAGAGCATTAAAATATTTGACAGAGGTGTAGAAGAAAGCGGCACGGAACTTAATGGAACAATATATGGGGAAAGATAAGTAATCTTAGTATCTGGTGACAAGGGGGTTAAAAGAAGAATGATGTTCAGAGTTCAACTGAAGAAGACGTCGCAGATACAGAGGAGTATTGGAGCAAAGGAGAGAAAATACAAGACAGCACAGGTGCAGAATAAAACGTTGCCATATCTTAAGTTTATTTAATTGCGCATAATTATCCAGTAAAGCGTGTCTCGGCAAAATCGTACAAATCTGTGATTGCTTATGATGCTGACAACTTGCCATAGATTTGTCTTCAACGATTTCGAATATACCGACATTATAGTAACATACAGGCAACAATGTGCATATGTATTTTCAGTAGTTTAACAACAAGATAGCTGCATCAATGTTATCTTGCATTTTCGGCGATATGATAGTGTATGATATTGCATATTCTTACGGCAATATGATGGCAGCAATATGAATTTTGATGATGACGATTTTAAAATTGTCGGCAAACTGCTGACAAGTTGCTACTCAAAGTTATCATATCGTGAAGGCATCAAGTTTTCAACAAATGAGGACTCAGTTGTTGCAATTCTAGTAGCAACATATGCTTAGCAATGCATACTAGTAAACAACATGCCAGCAACAAGATAGACACGTTGCTATCTGAATAATTTAAAGTAAGCAGAAATTAACGAAAGAGGGGCACATTCTTTCATGCCTGGCATCCATCTATCTTGTTTAGAGAAAAGCTTTGATATTTGTGAAAAATCTATGTGGTTGTCGAGTTACCTACGAAAATTTAATTAAGAAAAGCAGGATTGGGTAAGTTAATTTTTTTTTAAATTAAGTTAAGTTTTTTTAACTAAGTTTAATTAAAGTTAATAGCCTTTAAAATTAAACTTAGTTAAGATAAAAGTTAATTCATAGTGACATTAATTGAATTAAAAATTAAGTTAATGAAAAAAAGTTAATTAAAAAGTTAAAAATTAAATTTGTTTTATTTTATGATTTCAAGTTAACTTTTTTTTTAACTAAATTAAAAAACTAAATTAAAAATTAATTTTTTTAACTAACAAGCAGAGACTTACATATGTATTTTACGGATTTTGATCAGCTTTTCCATGATTATTCTGATTAAAAAATAATCCCTATAAAGCAGAAAATTGCACTTCTGCCTATTTTTCGAGAAAATTGTAATTTTAGCTCATGATGATGGATCTTCTTTATTCTTTGTTTAAACAAAAATTTGAAATTATTTAAAATTAGAAAAATGTATCTCCGACGGACACGAATAATGTATAAGTATCCAAATATAACGCTAACTATCCAATCCTGATGTTTTAAAAAATCAAATAAAAAGTTATCGATAAAATAATTATCGATAAGATAATTATGTTAAGTTAAAAAGTTAAGAGTCTAAAATGTAACTAAATGAAGTTAAATTTAATTAACTTTTTAACTTAGCATTACCTAACCTTGAAGAAGAGTAATAGAGTACGCGACGAAGTTGTTGTGCCATCACTCGTGAGTATGGTCACAACATCTATTGTATAGATCACGGACTAAGGGCGCGGTGTAAACGTAATCTATATTTCTGTTAGAATAACTTTCAGGTATATTTCTGTTAGGATAACTTTCAGGTCTGATAGGATAACTTTCAGTTACGATAAATTTCAATTCGTAATCGATGGTAAATGGTAAATGGTAAATCATACAAAGCAAACTTAAATCCAAAGTAAAGCAAAAAACTTAGCATACTTGGTTTGTATCAATAAAGAAAGAACAGAGTGAGCTTATCATATATTTTGATCTCCTTCAACATGATGACCTATATTAGAAATAAGTTATGTTGTAAATATTTCAGTCAAAACGAATTTTAGTGCTTAGATATTTTAGAGTAAATTTAATATTAAACGTTCTATAGACTCCACGCAAATCTTCCCTTTTGAATAAATTTGTTCGCCGTTACAACTCTAGTGACATTTGTAAAAAAAGCCATCAGTTGAAAATTTGAGCTCCTAACAAATTCCATTCGTTAAAACTCATAAATGTCAATCAAGAGAAAATATGAAATATTGCTATAATGCGTGATTGGAAATGATAAACTGCAAAAAGTGGAAACATAATCTATTAAAATAAGCAGATTATTGAGAGTTTCTTCAAGAAAAAAGACTAATAGTACAAATAAAACATAAATCTATGTCACATAAAGCGGAATATGACAAAAGCTACCACTGGATACCAACTGAAAAATTCCATTCTTACATATATCGCAAATAAGTGTCATCACATTATTTACACGACTCTGAAATATAGAATAATCGGTCCTTACACCGCCAATAATTCTAACTGAAGACCAAGAAGTAGGGTAGTTAAAATTATGCACGGGAGGCCGCCCGGATCGTTTTGACTTTGATATGTTGTCAAGGTCATGCCCTGACCTTTAAAAGATTTTAACCGGCGCTCGTTATTTGTTATTAATAAAAAAAGTTTAAAAAAATAACATTTTATTTCTGCTTCATACAATATTGGAAACTTTTATATCCTCCTAGAGGCGCATTCCACACGAAGCGAGTTCCACTTCACTCTCTCTCTGTTTAGGAGCGTGCGACTTTCTACGCGAAATAAGATCTACTCGCATAAAAAGTTGTGCGCTCCTAAGTAAACCAATTGTTTATAATTATGAAATTATAAATCTATGATAAGATCTAAACGTGATATTTGACAAATTTTTGAAAAAGATCAAAGTTTTAGTACAGTGCTGGAATTTATTTCCAATTTTCAGTCGATTTTCAGATTTGATACCCGTCCCTGCCTCATTAACTCGCGCGTAATGCCGATCGGCATTTAGATTGTGCGTAAGATGGTAAAATAAGGGATGGGAACCAAGTTGAAAATCGGTTGAAAGTTGCAAGTAAATTCCAGCACTGCTCTAGTATATGCAAGTTATGTTTGAAAAAAATTAAAACCTCTAGAAACACAATCAATTTAAGAGCTCATCTTAAAAGACCAGATATTTAATTTAATTTTTCTAAAATTTAAGTAAAATTCGCTCAAATTTTATTGAAAAGTATTCCAAAACAAAGAACAATTTTAACGAAATTTTAATGAAATTTCAACAAAATTTCAGCCATATTTTTCCACTAGGGTAATCATGCACTTCATTAATAGTTACTGTTCAAGTATCTATAGAAATTTAATAAGAAATCTGAATAATTCTCAATGATTTCTTTCCATACGGAATACATGGGAAGGTGGGGCACATGATGACAGGAGCGCAAAACATTAATTTACACAAAAGAAAAGCGTCACAGAAGAAATAACTTTGATGAAGTTTTAGAAGCCTATGAGAAAAATCATACGGGAGGAATATAAAGAAATCTAACCAGATTGAAAATTTGTTTTTCAGTTTATAATTTTGTTTCTCAAGGTAAGGCATTTCTTTTGATGACATAAATATATATGGCCTGTTATAAGATGATGTTTAGTATTTTATTTAAGATTATGATTATATTAATGCAAGCCTCGTATCACTATCCACATGAAGTTAAGTGACAAAGGTACTGCCCTTGGAGCAGTATATGACAGTAATTCTTGGGGTACATTGTGACATATTTATTTTTGTTTATCTCATCTACACTTTGTTTTATCATTGTTTTTTTAATTATTATTAGTTAAGCATAGTTCGACACAGAAGAAAAAAAGACATACATATGATTTTATCAAAATCCACTATGAACAAAAAGGCAACGATCCCATTAGTTTTGAGTTTGCTGTAAATTTTTCTCTTTTAAGTTAATATAGCCAAAGAAGCTTTTAATATGTTTAAGTTAACAAAGTTCTATAAAAATTTGGTTTTGTATTTTTACGGATAAAAAGATATCTTATTTTGACTTTTTATTTTAATATTTTAACATTTTAATATATGTTTAATATTTGTCATATGTTTATTATTTTAATATATTTTATTAAAGTTGAGCCAGAAAGAGCTTATAATCTAAGTGATTAATACAAGTTCGTTATAATATTAATTTTTATACATTTTATATGTACCTATTTATACTGTGCTTATATGTCTTAGAAAATTCTATTTTTAATATTAAAACAACTTAAAAATGTTATTTTTGGTTTTACTTATAAATTTTAAAAATACAATAATAAATCTTCAAACGTATTAAAATGATTTTTCTTGTAACACTCAATTTTGGGTCAGTCACATAGTGCCCCAAACCTATCACATAGTGCCCCATATGTGGGATAGTATGTGACAAATGAGATACTATGTGACAGTAGCTATTCCTCAATTGTTTACAAAGATTAAAATTTAGAAAAATTATCGATTGTTCTTTGTTGAAAGGGGAATCTTTTCATCTCATAAAAATTGAAATATTCTTTTACACAAGGAGGAGCAAAAAGAAAAAAATCTGTTACAATGTAGTCTATCTTCCCCTACCTAAGGAAAATTCAGGAGACTTGATCCATCATATGGGAGAGTTGAACTACTTCAAATATCTCATTCAAATTTCAGGCTAAGCAGTTGTTAAACCGGCATGGATCATGCTATTTCGATTTCACATTGCTCGAAACATAATAAACAGTTGCCAGCTTGATAACCGTGCACGTGGCATGAAAATTTGAACGAGAAATTTGAAGTATTTTAACTCCCATATGGTCAAGTCTCCCGGATTCCTTCTATATTATAAAGTTATATCATAAAGTTTTAAAAAAAAACATATATTAGGTGTTGGAATTAATTCGTAGCGTTTTTTAATGAAAGAATGTTATTTATTTCACATGAGCATTAAAAAATACATTAATGAAAGTACTTCCCATCACTTGTAAAACGCTACGAATTAATTCCAACACCTAATATATTCTTTTAAACATAGTTTAAATCAATTTAAATAATCAATTATTGATATTAATAATTGATATTAATAATTTAATTTTAAAAATACTCATTGAGATCAATATTTTTCGCAAAGTTTTACACACAATCAATTTTGTAATCATGTATACATACACTGTATCCACCGCAAAAGTGCTCATTGTCAGTGTAGTTAGGTTCTACGGGAAAACCTTTTCTCCATGCACTGCTTCTATTTATAGGGTCCAACATCATTCCATGTCCATAAATTTCCTGCAGATTAATAGCGATTATTAACGTCAAAACAAATAATTTGAATGCCATTTTTTTTGTATCTTTAATAGTAGAGAAGAAGCAGAAGTTCGACGCAACTATAATGCAAATGTTCGTTTAATCTACTTTATATACTTGTGCAAATTTCTCGACAAACATCATGAGACAATAAATGATCTATTGTGTTAATACAGCTGCAAGTAATTACCTTAAACATATTTTTTAACTTTGCCGTCATCGAAATTCAAATTTACATTTAGTACTAGTAACGTTATAAATCAAGTTGTTATATGAGAAAAATTATTATATAATCATTGGTAGACAAAAACAAGAAATAATTTTTCTGTAGATACAAATTGAATTTTTATTCAACCTAATCATTTTATAAGGATATTATTTTTTTATATTTTTCAAACTTCAAAATTTGTGGATCACATTCAAAATGTATATTTAAATTATTATATTAAACTATTACGTTGTTTTGATAATTTTCAACATGAAGGTTATTTGCAGAACGTTTTATAATAAACAAGAAAAATTATGAATTAATAGCACTAGCTAAATATTTTGAGGCGTATATTAATCTTTAGAGTACACATCTCAATTATACATCTAGTTTTGGACACTTTTACTACACACGTTCAATCATTCGTGTTCTTAATTTTCATCCCTTTTACAAGTATATATAAATTATTAAAAGATTTTTATGTATATTTTGACATCTCTAAAAAATTTGTACAATTATATATTCATAACAAATTGTAGATAAATTGTTATAACTAAATATAGTTTACAAAATGAGAAAAATGTATTGTTTCATATAAAAATGTAAAACTCTGAAACAAAAATGTTTAAAGGAAAAACATAATTTAATATCTTAAAATTGATGTTCCGAATTACAAAAAAAATTATTTCAAGTGTTTAATTTTCCAAAAGTTTAATTTTTGACCCAATCAGTAGATAATATTTTTTAAATGTTTTTTAAACGTTTATTTCGTATTAATTTTACATTTTTCACAATTCGTTTTTAAAATTCATTAATTCAATGTCAATTTATTAAATGTTCACTTTACATTATAATTTTTCATTTTAAATAAATGATTAAAAAAACATTGTTTAAACATTTATTTAACATTATTTATTTTGAATTTATATTTTATTTGAAATAATGATTTGAAAAAACGTTTATTTAATGTTTATTAAATGTTTATTTAACGTTTATTAAATGTTTATCTTCCATTATTAGCCCAGGAAAATAAGAATTTGAAAAGGACAAATTACTGCAAAGCTGAATTTTTGTATAGAGGTATGTATTGGGTCATCTAAAAAGTATCCGCGGTACTTTGTCACTAGATATATGACCATCAACACACATCTAGTGACAAAAAACAAACATAACAGTCTATACAATATACCATCTCAGAAAAAATTTGATTTAATTTTTTAGTAAAATTTAATTTTATTAAATTTTACTCTTTGCTATACTTTTCTCTTACAAATTAAAAAAAAATTAAACTTTGTACGAATGACATACCATGGCTCTCATCCGTGATACTCATGTTTGGCCCGATTTCCTTACTATGAGCAGTGATGCGAATTCCGGGCCGCTTGCAGCACGGTTATTAGCATGAAGAGAGCATAGACGGACACACAACGCATGCGCAAATATACACGGCATGGACTTATGTAGTACCTATGTACATACATATGTACCTTTTTATGCCCTCTTCATGTACTGCAAGCGGCCCGGAATTCGCATCATTGACTACGAGTCTCACACAATATTGTAGGCGAAAGAGTTAATTATATTGGGTCATCTAAAAAGTATCCGCGGTTTTTTGTCACTAGATGTGTGTTGATGGTCATATATCTAGTGACAAAGTATCGCGGATACTTTTTAGATGACCCAATATTTTACGGAAGAGTTATCCTAACCTAACCTGCAATTTGAACTTGCTAAAAGTAGCCAAATTCCTGGTTGGGAATCGCATGTGCACTAAAATTGGGGATCACATTATTTGCCAGCTCTTAAGGTGTCTTTTCATGGGACGCTGAAAAGCAGCGTCAAACGTCACGTGATCATCTTCTGTGACGCTGCCACAGTATTACAGTAGCGCAACTCTCTGTTGATACCTTTGATATTAATGTTGGCTAAATGGAGTGCGTATGCGTAAAATAAGTAAGCTCCCTAATAACGCCATCTGAATTTCTTTTTCAGTTGCTCTTTATTTTTCCGCTTTCTCTCTTTCTCTCTAGGTCGTTTGTACATACTTCAAATTAATCCAAATGTAAAAATAAAAGAAATAAATTTATAATTGTAATACATTGCAAAAAAAATATATTGGGTCATCTAAAAAGTATCCGCGGTTTTTTGTCACTAGATGTGTGTTGGTCATATATCTAGTGACAAAGTACCGCAGATACTTTTTAGATGATCTAATATAAAAAAAGAAAATATAAAATTATATAAATGTTGTATAATACAAATATTATACTGTAAAAATATTTTAATTAACAACTGCGGCGCACGATGTTTGTTTTTTTACTAGATCGCTTACGTTTTAATAAATTATTAGAATTGCACCGCACAGAACGTAGATTTTCTAGCTAAGACAAAAGCAATCCAGCAATTATACATAGCACTCACATTTGGCCAACATGAAATCAGGAGAGTTGCGCTACTGTATATACTGTGATGCTGCATCAAGAAGTTGGATTTAATTCAACGTGATAAACAGAATAGTCAGATCGGAAATACAAAAGAGATAAATACAAAAAAGAAGAACACGATAAGCAAAGTGGCTAAATTTAGATTTAAACACGATGGAATAAGAAGAGAAAGTAAATATTTATTTATAAATAAGTTGATTTATTATATTAATTAAATGTTTATTCTAAAATTATTCAATTCTTTGTCATTTTAAAATAAAAAATTAGATTAAATATGCAGAATATACCAGGTATTTCAGACCACTTGTACCATCCTTTTATCTTCGCAGGATAAGGTCTAATCAAAAAAGTGTTCAGACAAAAGTTGTAGATTTTTAAAGACCTATTTTCTGATGCTATGAGTTTGATCTTGGGTGGCGTCGTTAAGGTCAGGTCAAGGTTTTCACATCAAATTTGTCAGATAGTATGTATTACTTGTAAAATATCATATATTTATATACTTTCATATACTCGAAAGAGGTTTTACACACACAGAATGAATGAAATTAATTATTATTCAATGCGTTTTTGCATGAAATGAAAGAATCTGAAATGATCTGAAATAAATAGTGCGCGTGGTTCAAAATAGTTCGTGAAAATTAAAAGTTAGATCGCTATTTCCTTATTTAAAAACCAATCACAGAGAGGATGGTCACGTGACCTATTGGTATCTCTTTTCTATACATAAAGGTTTTCCATTCCGCATTCACTGCGCGTAGGCAACACTTTTATATAAGGAAAAGTGGGGAGTTAGCAGTCTAGTGTCATAATAGAAGTTTGTGGTCGAATGGCAGCATGAAAAAACACCTTTAAGTAGTGTTAGCAATATAAAAGTATTACATATATGAGCTGAACTAATATACATATATTTTTGAAACTTAAAGTGAGAAAGGTATATGTTTGATATTTGTTGAGTGATAAAGAGAGTTCCAGTGCAATTTACAGAAAACACACCCTTTATGTTTACCACAGATTATGGAAATGTTCATGACGCATTGAATACTTATTAAAACAAATGATAACAGCGAATTGATTATGGAGACACAGCCGTTGAAAGTGCCTGAAACATCTCCACCGCCATATACTAATTCTGTTGCAACAGCTCCAGCAGGTGCGTCATGATTTTTAGGTTAAATTGTACTGTCTAGAAATGCTCTTCTTTCCTTTTATTGCGCAACTATGCGTAATAATTGTCGATTTCATTTGGTTGGCTAATTTTCTATTTTCGAAATTAATAACTCACGCAATAACAAAATAAGGCAAAATTAGATAAACAAATTTCTGCTCGATAATTTCTAAAGAAAAAATAAATTATATTTATTCCTTCTTATATGAAATTGACAAGAATGTTTGTATGTTTCTCAGTTCAATTTGAGCCATTATTAGCGATCCAAATCTTAAAATCATCAATTAAACGCAGTTTTAGCGTTTGGAAACATCCTGAGTGAAACATGCTCTCGTGTATTATATCTTATTCTTACTTAATATTGAGTAAATAATAAGGATAAAACGATACACAATGGCACTCGAGTGATATTTCTGAACGCAGTCCTAGTAGTCAATCGTTTTGTGTAAAAACACGTCGAATGAGCCTAGTTATCAATATATACTTGAAGAAAACAAAACGAAACAATTACCGAATTTAAACATTGTTTTTAAACATTAATGTTATTATTAGGAGTGTATTTCTAGTGTAGTATCATTTCTAATACTGAAAATCCATAGCATATATATGTAATCCACCATAAAAGATATTGAAAATGTAAAAAAAGGCATCAAATTATAATATTTTAATTATATTATCTTTACCAAACCATTTTATAAATATATTGTAAACATAATGAAAAGAATAAAAAATAATATCACAAAAAGAAATGAAATTAAAATTCAATGTTTTTACATAAATATATCAAAAGATGTTTTTGCACAAAACATAAAAAACTTAACCAAAAATAATACTATAAAAAAGAAGTAAAATCAAAATCATAACATTTCAAGTATATTTATTAAAATAAATTCCACGGAATACAGTTCTCCGAGCAGTATCTTCAGAATGTCTTTGATGTAGACGTCCCTTGGATATCCTTTAGGACTTTGTTGTATGGGATAATTTCTCACATTTATAATAAACTTAATACAAAATACGGAAGACATTTGAAATGTATAAAATATAACAACACATTAAAATGAGAAAATGTAATAGATAGCATAATGAGGCGCAGAAATTGAAAAAGTTTTACATCGATAAGAAGAAATTATAGAGACAAAAAATCGAAAACGAGCAAAATCTCTAGCAACATATTTGACGCGTCCATTTTGTTCATAATTTGATTCATGCAAATAATTTACTAAATATTGTATTAATTTTAAATACATACAATATGAAACGCAACAATATTATTGTACTTAGACGCAAAATAATATGCCATATATTAAAATATATTTCTTTATTAATGTTAATATCATTAACGCATTTATTATGAATGATTATATTAGGTGTTGGAATTAATTCGTAGCGTTTTACAAGTGATGGGAAGTACTTTCATTAATGTATTTTTTAATGCTCATGTGAAATAAATAACATTCTTTCATTAAAAAACGCTACGAATTAATTCCAACACCTAATATTTATTAACACACCTTGTATGAAAATGATGATAATTCGTGCAAGATCTATGTATGTATGTATCTATATATCATAATAAATTTTAATAAAAACTAAGTGTCATATAGCATATAAATAAGAGAGGTAAGTGATTGGCCTTTAGAGACAAATGCAACTGTTGATGCGTAGAGTATCCATTAAAGTATTTAATTATTAACCAAAAAATTATATATTGGTACCGTAAAGGCGGATGTTTCTCAATTTCGAGCCAACTTCAGCGTCAGGATTTAAAATTCGTGTATTAACTCCACACTCGAATGGAATCTGATGAATCTCCCAAGACGTACCATTCTCAACAATAAGAATCTTATTGGATTGTACATTTGTAAACTCAACAAATAGGAAAATAATGGCCGTAATGATCAAAGCTAAATCTTTTTTATGCTTAAATAATTGAAAAATTATTATACTCTATATATGCATATATATTAATATTTGTAGTGATTCGAACTGCGCATTGAATTGATTTTTCGGACTTATGCATGCAATTAACTGTAGTAATATCACGAATTAAATTGACAATTTTTAATAATTTGCTTAATCAAACATTAGAAAGATGTTACCCAGCAAATGAGAATGGATTGAAATGGATTCAGATTTTCAGAAATATGGATTTATGACTGTTAAAATGAATCCTTTTCAATCCTGAATGCATTTTTATTTATTTATAGGAATTGCATAGAGTATATCTCTATGCCTTTCAATCTGAAAATAATATTAGCATTTTCTGTGCATCATGAATACTACTCAATTCAGAATTGTGAATAGGAAGTACAGTTTTTTTAATTTATAATAGTTAAATTAAAAAATAATATCAGCAATTTCTGTGCAACGTGAATACTGTTCATTTCAATATTCTCAATATAAAATGCAGTTTTTCAATCTAATTGAATAAAAAAAGTTTTTATTTGAAAATTGACCATAAATGCTACTAAATTATTCAAAATTATAAATAGAAAATTTTTCGTTTCAATCCAACCAAGGTTAAAAAAAGTTGTAACGTAAAAATAATTGAATTCTTTTGTTTCTCTTTGATTAGAAGTAATGAATGATCGATATAAACACTCGCAAACCAAGTCGAACCCAGCCCGGATATTAGGCTAATCACAGCGCGCACCATCAGCCAAGCGAGATTAGATTATCCGACACTTACCAATGTTGTTTCATAATAATGTAAATTATTTATATTTTATTATATCTGTTAAATGATGATATTTTTATTATATCTATATAATTTCGTTACTAGTTTAGCTGGTTGTAATTGAAGTAAAAAATGAATAACACATTTACAATTGAAGAAGTGGTGTAGCGGGTAACATAGAAGATTCATAATCCAGAGATCCCAGGTTCGAATCCCACTATAGTGCGTTTGTTAATACCAATTTGAAATAGTTAATTTCAGGTATAATTATTATAAATGTCTTAGGAATAAAATTTGTAACCCTTAAATATGAATGTTTTTTTTTAATATTAAAGTGTCAGCTCGAATCCAATCCATTTCAATTCATTTCAATCCATTCAATCCATTTTCATGGATTTAAAGTACGCATTAAAAAAATTTTAATCCATTTTAATTTATTCTCGTTTGCTGGGTAATGTGCTGAAAAACTGTAAATAAATTTATTGCGAAAAATATTACTTCGGCCGGGAGTCGTACTATTCACGAAGTAAGAACAGCGAGAGAACCGATTGGTATTGCAATAAACTTCAAATTATCGAGATTAACGTGCGCTTTTTCAAATAAGAAAAAAGCGGGGAAGGAAAAAGAAGGGAAAGTGATTCACTTGTAAATATTAATATTATCTCATACTATATATTTATAATAAATTATTATCACTAGTGAATTCATCACAATGGCAACCACCTCCCGGATACTATCCTAACATTGATTCTGGTTATCAACCTGGCTATCAAGGAAGCCATGTTCCATCATATGGCTCTACACATTCCACTGCAATCATTGTTCCAGAAATTATTGTAGTTGGCGGTTGTCCAGCATGTAGAGTATGCAAATTTTTTATTCAAATATTATCGCTGTTTTGATTATGCTTAAATTGAAAGTAACATTTAAACCTAAAACAGATAGGAATAATGGAAGATGATTATACATGTCTTGGCTTGTTTTGTGCGATTTTTTTCTTTCCTCTCGGAATTATCTGTTGTCTGCTATTAAGGACAAAACGCTGTTCAAATTGTGGAGCTTATTTTGATTAATTAAAAGTAAGTATTTCCTACACTTACAAAAACAACATTATGTCATGAAAATTTAAAACAAGATATAAATATTTAACAATCACTAATGATAAGCAATTAATATTTGGTCAGAATAAAATATTCTTATAGCTAAATAAGTTAATATATGCGTATAAAATAAATTTGAAGTTAAAGAGTAAAAAACTTAAAATTAAAACAATCTTATCAGTAAACAAATATTTCGATCTTTATTAAGCCCTTTTTAATGTTTAAAATAAATCCATTTATACATAATTTTTCAATTCCAGTACATGCTAATTGTCAAATAAAACTATTGGAAATTCTGTAATCTACTGACTAAGTATATATACTAACTAATGACGAATTTGATTGGAAGCACTAGTGCACACTAGTGCATATTAAAGCACTGATTTAATTTGTACACTGATTTGAATATAAAAGTGAAATGCAAATTCGAATTATAAAATACATATTTTACCTAATAGTACGATAAAATGTATTGAGTATTTCAGGATTTAATCAATTTCTATGTTATATATAAATATATCTTTACATTATTTTATATGACGGCTTTAATGTGCACCAGTGCGCACTGAGTGCGTCCAATTGAATTTGCTAAAGTAAACAATCTTAATAAGCAATTCACTCAATTTGTAATTAAACCGTTCTAAATTATTCTGTTTTAGTTGAATCATCGCATGGTCTCAAAGCCCTAAAAGCTGGCTAAAATATGAAAGTATTTTTCAATTTAGTTACGAAATTTAATATCTATAATGGTTTTCGAGATCACTGATTATCGACTCGAAATCAAATTATAAAGGAGGAAATGGATCTATTTAATGTAGCCAACGTATGTAGAAGAAATATTTGATGTAAATTAAAATTTATATCCTGTTCTATTTTTAAATAAACAGTAATAACATCCGAAACAAAAATAAAGATTTTTAATAAATAATAATTTTTATTAATTTAAAATTTTTATTGCATCCTGTGAAATTATCGTTAAAACTTCTAAAGTCGTGCAATAATTTTTGCATAACTGGTTTCACATCTGGTAACGTAATGCCCGTATCAGATTACGGATTAATAATCACGACGATCGCCCGGTTCTATTTTAACTAATCACAATACCATATAGTGAGTCATAATTGGTTGAAATAGAACTGGGCAACCGTCAATCGTACTCGTCAATCTGTAATCTGATACGGGCATAAAGAATATTATAATTTATTGAACATCAGCTTTACAGTTACTTCATATGTGTGCATGTATATACAGAATGTTCTAAACGTAACAATAAAGTTTTTGTACAGGGATAGAATGGACTAAATTGAGAAGAAAAGTTTACCATTTTGCAATTTTCGTAACAATTAACAAGATATTAATTGCTAACAATTGCCGAAAATTGATCTTCAATAATTTTTTTACTCAAATATTATCAATTTTACAGAAAAACTGCAAAAGACAAAAATTGTTTATTTTCTTCTCATAGAGCTCTAAGAATTTTTTTCAGAATTTTTTATTAACTTTTTATTAACTTTTACTCCATCTTCTTATTTTTACCAACATAAAAAAATATAGTATTAAAAAATTCTAAAAAAATTCTTACAGCTCTTAAGTTATTTGATAGATGAGTGATAATAATATATTACTGATAATAAGATTATTACATCAGATAATAAATGAAAAAAAATATATATATATATAATTTTATTTCGTCTCAGTTATTTATAAATTGCATAAATGTAAAACTATACATATATGATGATCACTAACTAAATAAATTACCCTTATCGTTTCAACATTATAGATAATTCTGAAATATTATCCTAGCATCAATATAATAAATCAAGAACATATGTATATCAATATTTATTATAAGACGATTAAATGCATACCACAAATGTAATCACTATATCACTTGCCATGTTTTGACCCATAATATTTTATCCCATTTTTTGTCGAACATCTGGCATACTTTGTTAAAAGTGCATTAACATTCGTTATACCTTTTGTAAAACGACTAAAAAGAAATAATTATATAAGATTTAAATTAATAATACCTTTGTACTTTTATTTACTTACATAATATAAGGTGTTATCTCTTCAACAGTCCATTTAGCTTTAATTTCAAAAAGTTCATTAAGTCTATCGTGAATGTTATTGGGTAAGTCTGCCTCTGGACAAGATATGACTTCCTTCTGTACTTTTGAAGTATTATACATTATAAGAGCTGATCCATGTAAATATTCTTCTCTTGGCTGCATTTCTGAAACATTAAAAAATAAGTTTAAGTTCAAAAAACTATATCATTACAATTTCCTAGTTTAATTACATACTTTCAGGAGTTCCAATGTTCCATGTTTTCATAAATTCTTTATATTCGGTAACAGGAGAAGTAGCAAGAAGAACTTTTGCTATCACTGTACAGCATTTTTCTTCGTTAAACCTTCTCAAGACATTACATTTAAAAGACATTCTTCCTTATAAAATTTTCACATTAATTGCTATAAAATATGTTAATAATGTATATACCTATATAATGGACTTCCGTCATCCTTTGTCTTTGTGCTTGGTTCTGCATACCTTTTGAATATAACATCAAATACTGGTTCATAAATAAGTTCCTTTAAAAATTCACAAGTATTCTCTTTATCTACTTCATCGAATTCCCAAGATTGTCTTTCAAAATAATCCAATATCAGATCTAAGCTTCTTGCTTCTATGTCAAATGATATGAGACGCAAATAACCTTAATATAAAAAGATCTTTAAGTTAGATATCATTTGTAATGAATATGGTCTAATATAATAAAGAGATTTTTATTACAAACCATCTATTTCAGCTATTAAGAAATCTGATAGAGCCTGTTTTAACTCTTGATCACTAGCTTGTAATTCATTTTGTAATCTTTCCCAACTGTATAATACATTTCGATCTATAGTAGATTCGTATTCCAATCCATTGAAAGAAGAAGATTTAAGTAGACTCGATAAACGTATCAGATCAGGTTTGGTTTCTTTTACCTTGAATATGAAAGATTATTAATTTTTTTCTGCAATTCAACATTTTACGCACCATTCAAATATATATATATTATAGAATACTGCAAGCACCTCGTAGTATAAGTTAAATATCTTCTTTACATTATGTTTTTCTATAGTTCTTTCTGCAACTTTTTCGATATCTGTTGTCTTACCCAGCTTTAGGTTTGGTACCAACAACCATGAATTGGATATCTCTGCCTCTCTGACCTCATAGGTACAAGTTTGTGTACATAGCATAGCATTGTCATGTTTATTACCGCGAAATGATATTCTACAGTTACAAAATTATATTATTTATAATCACTTTACAGAATAAAAATTGCAATATTAATGTTCAAAGAGGATCTCAACTCTCAAGGATCTATTTTATAAAACGAAAATCATAAAAATGTGAAAAAGACGTACGCATCTCCCTGGTTTAGTCTCTTTAATATATCCTCATCTACTTCCAACAATATCATGTCATTGACTTGATGATCTTGCATGGAATATAGACATTGTGTCACGGTATTTAAATCAGACTCTTTAATCCCAGCCAATTCCAAGATTTCGCAAACATTCTCCTTGACATGAATGTTCCTTAACAAGAAGAAACATTGTAAAATTGATATTAAAAAAATATATAGAAAATTCGTTTAACAATAATCACCGTTTATCGGCCGATTTCGTCAACAGACCGGCAGACTCCATATGAAGTTCAGGTAATTATGAAGGAGACGGGTTTTTACATAAAAGTCAATAAAATTAGGTTTATTCGACGCGTTTTTTGCATAAAATGAAAGAATTTAGCAGAAAAAAAGCGACGCTCTGTCCCGCGAACCAAGATATTAATCGTTCAGGTTAAAGTTGACTATTTAGGTTAGGAAATCTGTCATAACCACTCTAAAATCAATGAGCGCGTTTGTGAAAGTAATCAGTAATCGGTAGGAGGGCTTCAAGATTGATTCGGATTTAAAACTATCCGGATATTCGTTTATTCGAATTACGAATAAATGTGATGCTTCAAATTCGAATTATTCGGAGATTCGAATTTTCTAAGATATTCGAATTTCGAACCGAATAGTCGAACCCAGATCCGGTTCTCAGATTCGGTTCCGAATTCATACTTATAGCGAATTCGATTGGTTGCATTAGTGCGGACTGAATGCATATAAAGTCATTATATTGTAAAGGGTGTTTTTTTAAGCCCGATAGAACTTGAAATTGTAAAAAATAAAACAAAAAATTAAATTAAACAGCCGCGGTGGCCATATGCCCGAAATCATTTTTAAATGTTAATGCCATGCATTGATCTTTCGACTAAAAAAAATTTTTTGATTATAATTTAATTTTTGTGTTAGTTTTTACAATTTTAAGTTCTATCGGGCTTAAAAAAACACCCTTTACAATACAATATTATACACTTATTTAATCCGAGTGTAAAAGTCAAATATTTCTCTTATTAGCCTTGTACATCTATGTTATTACTATTTTAAGATTGAGAGTCTGTTCTTAACATTTATATTTATAAACAATACTAAAAATCTCATAGAATGTACATGTGAAAAACACAACCCATAGAAACAAATGCCTTAAACGGTCTATCTTTAAGTGCTTGTATAATTCTGTGTGAATTTATATATTTATATTTTTTAATTTTATTTTTCTTCAATTACATATGTGAATCAAAATTCAAGTTTTATTTAAAAAGTAACTTATGTTAAAATTCATCATGTTTAAATATTGGGTCATCTAAAAAGTATCCGCGGTTTTTTGTCACTAGATGTGTGTTGATGATCATATATCTAGTGACAAAGTATCAACACATATCACAATCAGAAATAAACAAAACAGTAACTGTGTCTAGCAGTAGATGTTTGATCTTGCAAGAGATGGGTTGCAATGTTAGATAAGAACAGATGTATGCGTTTGAGTGAGACAGAACGATAACACCATACGGCCAACATTTTTCACACATGAAAAACTTGAATTGTTCATAAAAGTAAAAATTTAGTACCAATATGCGTTTCGTTTGACGATATCAAATCATTTGCGTTTTTTGTGCACGTTTGAAATTTAGAGATCATTTTTATCTGCAGCGCAAGATGAAATTTTGCGATTGTCTGAAAATTATATAATTACAATATTTTAATGTAAAATTGATCACTGAATGAGAAAATGATTATATTAGAGCGATTGGAGTAGAACAAAATGGTAAAAAAAATGCATTTTTAGTCGAAAATTTCTTCTTTTTCGGCCTTTCTATGATTTTCTTTATAAATATTGTGACAATTTCATTGTCACAAGCATTTACCTTCGGAATTTGTCAGTGCGAGACAATAGACACATACGCACACATGCCATATACATACCCTACGGGCGCATAATATTATTTAATATTTTAAGCATATTCTTAGAATATTAAACGTAAATTTCAAGAATATTTTACTAAAATTATATATTAAATAATATCCTCGAAATATTAATGGATCGTTATATGTCCACTCCTGATAATGTTATATTATTATTAAAAGTAACATTATTTAATATTACTGTAATATTATTTAAACATTAAAAAGTATTATAATAGCATTTACTTTAATTTATAAAACTGCTACATTTGTTCAGAATAAGTATACGTTCTGAAAATGATTTTGGCGCACAGTTGTAGTACTAGATATGTACTTAAAATCACGAAACATTTTCAGGGTTGTTAGCGAAAAAGAAAAAAAATTTTCCTGATTTTCTCGGTTTTTGAAAAATTTCCTGACTAAAACTTGAAAAATTCTTTGAATAAAAATAAAGAAAAAAATTAAAATATTTTATTTTACAAACAATAAAATTAAAAGAAATAATAAGAAGGCTTGAAAAGCATGAGAAGATATTTGTGTACATATACGCCATATACTCTTGTCATGTATTAGGTTAGATACATATACTTTGTATTGGATATTACGTGTACTTTTATTTAGAGAGATTATAATTATAACACAAATAATAAGTCAAAGAATTATTTAACTTAAATAATAAATTGCAAATATAAATAATACGACAATGAGTATGTTAACACTTTGAATGATCTGTTAATATGATCGTTGTGCAACTAATTGTCGTTTTATACAACCTGTAACTAATTTTATACACAGCACGAACGATATGCGACTAGCATTTTTCTTCGATGCTGCGCATGACACCAATATGGTATCGCTGGGATTTACCTGATAGCTTTTTCGCGACACTAACATGATGTCATTGGATGGCATAGACTGTTCCACTTAACTCTCACAACGCTCGTAGAATCATTTCATCCTTGTCGTTTATCAGATGTTAAGGATAAACGATGTTCGCGAGTTAAGTGGAACGTATGACTACTGATACGCGATGAATTAAAAAACAAATGAATTATGGAAAATAGCGGATTATATCTTTGTTTTGCACATTATTTATTGAGATTTAATCATTTCATTAAAATATTGTATATTCTAATTATATTTTAATTAATTTTAATTAGAAATGATTTACGAAATATTCATCACACACATATTAACACATATTTTGACTTTTGCAAAGTTAAATTTTTTTCTTTTTAACAACGTCCGCTAATGATTTTCTGCAAATTGCTCATTGCAAAATTAAAAAATAAAAAAAATATTTGCATTGCTTCTTTAAAACATTTTTTAAATTCTGTCATAATTTTTAAAGAAGTAAAGTTTAAACTTAGAATTTTACAATAATTTAATTTTATCTTAGATTAATAAATTTCTTGATAATAATTTCTCTGACTTTTCCCGGTTTTCCGAGTTTTCCTGATTACTTTAATTTTCCTGATTGTCTCTAATTTCCCTGACCGCTAACAATCCTGATTTTTTTTTTTTTAGCACAAGATGCAGCATAGACTGATACAAATTTTTCGTTATTGGATCGTCAATTCAAATTGCACTAAATTAAAAAAATAGTTAATATTTATAAATATTTTAATAATATGTCAGGAATATTAAGGATATAATACCAAGGATATTATGTAAATGGACATATAATCTCTACAGAATATTCTCGTAATATTAAAAATTATTATATATTCTCAAAATATTATAATAACTTATTTTAGTAATATAACTTTTTTTTAATAATATCCATGTAACATTTCTAGGAATATTTTGTGCGTATAAGGTACTTGACGCACATACACATATTTCAGAAACGGCTATACACAAACCGTCGGTCGCGAAAACGAAGCTTCAAACTCGTAAATTTCTTATGACTGTCTCGAGTTTTTTTTCTGTATATATAGTAGTTTTTCTATATCTCTATAGTAATCACTTATTTAGAGCAGAATGTAATCAAATGTAATGTATCTTTGTACTCCAATTAATTTGTAATTAATGATTCATCATTTAAACATAATATTAAAGTTTTAAATGTAAGAACAACAGATAATAAATACGCGGAATAATATTTTGGATAAAAGAAATTTCTAGAAAGACGCGCGCGACCATGGTTGTGAAGCGGAAAAGTCGTGGAGTCATTTCGTAAACACGAGACATGTAATACGCACTCTGAAAAGGTTCATAAATAAATGACAATTGTTAATATCTAAAAATATGACGATAAGCATTTGATATACCCGACCAACCATCCAAAATATGAATGAGAAAATATATTTTGTATGACTTCATTTTAAAGAAATATTTATTAGTCATTTTTCTAACAAAATAAAGGAAATTAAATTTAAAGTTATTAATAAATTTAAAGTTAAGTTAAATTTTTAAATTAAAGTTACAAAATTTATTGAATGTATAAAAAACAAATTATTTCGTGAAAAAACACTGACCTTGATCACAAATGTTGCAATTAAAACGCGCTTCATGTAGTATTTTTGTCGAAATTTTAACATAAAATTTATGTATAAGTGTAGATTATCTTGTTTAGTTACGCTAGTTTTTCTTCTCAAAGAAATAATATTTCTTTATAAAACCTTTTGAAATTTCTTTTTTATATTGCTGAAAGGCTCGTACAGAGCAGGTTTTGCAAATTGATTTTTGAAGAATTATAATAAATAAAATTATATAATATGTACCCCATTGTAACTGCATAGTACACATCGAATGAGATATCAAATAAATTTTTATTTTGCCTTTAAAAAAAACCAGTCTGCATATAAGCCTTCAAGTAACTTTCCTGATTACGAATATCGCAATTAAAATGCTATTCGTGTATTTCAGCCAAATTTCAGCATAAAGAAATTCGTTTCCGATTAGAGCTCTCCATAGTTTTTCCTGTTTAAAGTTCCTATATAATGAACTCTATCTTTTCGATCCTTAAGTAGAACTCACTCAGAAATATTGGAATACTAGAGATGCGAATTAGTTCGAATTCGAATTGAATCGAATTGAATCGAATCAGTGGATTCGAGACTGGCTATCTTCCACAGTCCCTCTCTCTCATTATTGTCGATTCATTTTCAACATACAAATATTAAAAAATATTTATATTATTGTTTTTAATACATTTATAACATATTATTATTTTTAATTTTTTTTAGCTGATGTCAGTAAATGATGTAAAAATTTGATTTGATTCGATCCGTTTTCGAATCAAAAGGTTTCGATTCGATTCGATTTGGTGTAAAGATTTCAGATTCGATTCGATTCATTTTCGAACATGTTATAGATTCGATTCGATTCGATTCGACTTTGCAAATGCTTGATTCGCACACCTCTACGGAATACTAGAAAGACTGAT